AAAGTTTTACTGGTTACATTTATGTCTACACACTCTAGTGAACAGGACCTTCATGTAGTGTGTACTTTTTTTAAAAATCATACAGCATCCTTTCATGTGCTTTTCAGATGTTATATTGTTAATTACCAATTTTTGTTTAGCCTGATTTTTTTTTTTTTTAAAGTGAAAAATAAGTGTTATTGTGATCGCTTCATATACAGAGGCATTAATATACATTTCTATATTGTGTAAAGACACAACTACAAAGTTAAAAACCAAACACCAAAACAATCTGCCTGTGCATGGCTAGTGTGATACAATAAGTTTACATCTTAAAAATGCAATAACACACAGAAGATGAGTGAGAATTTTTTTTTTGCAAATGGAACTTTGATTCGAATTTACCACATCGGTCACTTGTAATATTGTTTCACACCTACAACACTTGTTAAACAGATCTAAGTGATAGAAAACAGATTGATTATTTCTACACTAGAAACTACCAGATAACAAGCTGCTATATTTAAACCAGTTATCAATAGCTAAGAGGTACTTAAAGAATATTGTAATTCTGGGGTAATACCCTCACAAGTCAAACTGAGAGGTCAGTTTATAGGGAAAACTGTTGCCTGGATACAATTCTAAAACAATTTCCATATGTCCTTTGTAGACTTTACAATTACAAATTTTCAGTGATTTTAAACATGTGAATAAAAAATATTTTAAAAAGTGTATAAATATTAAAAAACAAGCTTAAAAATGAAAAACACAACTCTGAAGCATGTTTGTCATTCTGGATGTTCAGTTGGCCTGCAAAAGAATAATGAGTTATTAAAGTATACCGCACAAGTTTTACATAGGTTGCCATTATACTGTTTATGAAATATTTGGAGATACAATTGCCACTCCAGCTTGACAACTTTCCATGGGAGGAAGTTACCAGCAGGCCCCCAGGTGCCTGAGGCTCCTGTTCAGGACCTGCCAGCACAGGAAGGTGCTACCAACACCCAGTGGAACCCAGGTGAGTTGTCAAATCGCAAGCTGACTTAAACTGGGAGGACTCCAGGACACACCTGGGACCATAATCTTTATCACTAATCTACAGGCTGTACCAATTATAGTGTTTGGCGTTTCAGTTATTCTTAGTGAACTTTACATGCTGGAAAAACACAGCAAGGAGGGCAGGGTTGAGGAGTGGGTGGAAGATGATGTGGAGGATGAAGAGGTCCCAGACCCCACATGGAATGAAGGACATGCGAGTGACGTGTGCAGTTTGGAGGAAGAGGCAGTGGTCGCACAGAGGCACCAACACAGCATAAAAGGGAGCAGGGTGCAAAAGCGGAGCGGCCGTCCCCTAGCACTCATCGGCATGTATTGGCTCTAGAATTACCACAATTATCCAAGTAACAGATGGAGCGATCAAAGGAACCACAGCTAATTTAATGAGCCATTCGCAGTTTCACTGTAGCGGCTGTGGGCGCTTTCGGTGTTCTCACCCTGCTGCTGCTCACCTGTCTGCGCTGCAGCGTAACTTAGGCCTTCCGGCTCACTACCTCATATGCGACGTGCCCACAAGGTGGAACTCCACCTTGCACATGCTGGAGAGACTGTGCGAGCAGCAGCAGGCGATAGTGGAGTTTCAGCTGCAGCACGCATGGGTCAGTCGCTCTGCGGAACAGCACCACTTCACCACCAATGAGTGGACCTCCATGCGAGACCTGTGTGCCATGTTGCGCTGTTTCAAATACTCCACCAACATGGCCAGTGCCGATGACACCGTTCTCAGCCTTACAATCCCGCTTCTATGTCTCCTTGAAAAAACGCTGAAATTCCTGGCTTTCGAAATGATGTCATTCCGTCTGGTGGAGACGGACAGTTTTAAAAACCTGATGGCGTTATTAGACTGCAAGAAATGCACCGCAGGCCGCAAATGTTTCTTTTTTATATGTCCCAAAATTTTGGGGGCTACCCCAATTAAAAACAAAAAACAAAAAAAAAAACAGTGTTGGCTACCTCCAACCTCCTCCACCGCCGCTTCCACCTACACCGCCACGGTCACCGCCTCCTCAACCTCCTACTCCACATCCACCTCCTCCTCCTAGAACAGGGTGCAAAAGCGGAGCGGCCATCCCCTAAACAGTACGCCTGCTACTGCCCACCGCACCCAGGGACCAAGCACACCAAAGCCAGCTCCAAGGCAGTTCTTTAGACAATGTACTGATGACAAGACACAAGTGGTTTGCACGCTGTGCAATCAGAGCCTGAAGCGAGGCATAAACTTTCTAAACCTGAGCACAACCTGCATGACCAGGCATCTACATGCAAAGCACTAGCTGCAGTGGAGTAAGCACCTCAAAAACCAAGAAAGGTCTCAGGCTCCTCCTGCTTCCTCTTCTGCATCTGTCTCAGCCTCTTCCTCCACCTCTTCCTCCAACCCGCAAACAGAGGATGTGGCAGCAACGCCCCCACGTCCGTCACCGTCCCCAAGCATCTCCACACTGTCCCATGGAAGCGTTCAGCTGTCCATGTCCCAAACACTGGAGAGAAAGAGGAAGTACCCCCCTACCACCCACTATCGCTGGCCCTGAATGCCAGCATTTCAAAATTCCTGGCCTTTGAAATGCTGTCATTCCGTCTGGTGGAGACAGACAGTTTTAAAAACCTGATGGCGTTATTGGACTGCAAGAAATGCACTGCAGGCTGCAAATGTTTCTTTTTTTTTTTTTACATGTCCCAATATTTTGGGGGCTACACCAATAAAAAATAAATAAAACTGTGTTGGCTACCTCCTCCTCCTCCACTGCCGCTTCAACCTACACCACCACGGTCACCGCCTCCTCAACCTCCTACTCCACATCCTAGTTAAAAAGATTATTATTTTTAATTTTGATGTATTTTATGTTATTTTAAGTTATTTCCCTATCCACATTTGTTTGCAGGGCACTTGTCCTACTCTTACCCCCATTTTACTTCCTTTTGCAGCCCTCTAGCCCTTTCCAGGACTTTTTAGAGGCATTTTAGTGCCCAAAAGTTCGGGTCCCCATTGACTTCAATGGGGTTCGTGTCAAGTTCGAGCCCGAACTCAAACTTTTTGATGAAGTTCAGCCGAACTCTGCGAACCGGAACATCCCGGTGTCCGCTCAACTCTACTTACAATATATATAGTGCTAGTGTGAATAGATAAGATGTAATTGAAAAAAAATTATGAAAAAACAATGGGAAAACTGGCCCATTAAGCGAAAAGAAGCAACTGTTTAATCACGGTAAAATTATTTGTCAATGAAAGAGGTGTAGTTAAATTCCTCATTAAAGTCCCTGAGGTGCAATTGTCTTAAAATTGAAAATCCATCTTGTTTCTTTTTGTAAGAAACGCAAATTGAAATCACCTTTCCTAGAATGAGATTGTAATTTCTCAATGGCTTGGAAACATAAATTCGATACATTAGAATTATGAAAGTTGATAATGTGTCTTGCAGCCAGAGTAGGGGCAATCGAATTAGTGATTGAATTTACATGTTGTAATATCCTCCTCCTAAACTGTTGTAAAGTCTTACCGATGTACTTCTTTTAACACGTTCATGTAAGCAGGTAGACGAGTTTGGTCATTCCACAGTTGACAAGTGTATTGGTAATGATCTTTAGATCTGTTTGGTTGGACACGGTAAATTTCGACGGGTTTATGTATTGGCATGCCTTGCGGTGTCCCAGGGCCGCCACCAGAAATTTTGGGGCCCCTAACTCAGCTCAGGGTCTGGGCCCCCTGGGCCCTCCTCCAAATACCGCCCACTGGGTCCGCCTCCAAATACAGCCCACAGGAATACACATACAGACACAAACACACACACTGATACAAAAAGACAGAGATACATACTAACAGACACACATACTGAAACAGACACGCATACAGGCATACATAGTGACAGACAGACACATACTAACATACATGCAGACACACATACATGCAGACACACATGCATGAGGACATAAAGACACATACATACATACATACACACACACACAGACATACAGACACTGTCATCCATACACACATACATTCATAATGGCATATAGACATAAACAGACATACATTCAGACTGACATATATGCATATATACAGACATACTGACAGACATACATGCATACAGACATCCATACACACATACACACAGACATACGTTCATAATGATATGCAGGCATACATTCATACTGACATACAGACATACATATATAATGACATACAGACATACATACAGACAGACATACGTGCATACAGACATACATACATCCATAGACATACATACAGACATACACATACATGCATACAGTCAGACAGACAAACAGACATACAGACATAGATACATAGACATACATACATACATAGACATACATACATACATAGACATACATACATACATAGACATACATGCATGCCTACAGACAGACATACATACATACACACACACAGACATACAGACACTGTCATCCATACACACATACATTCATAATGGCATACAGACATACATACATACAGACATCCATACACACAGACATACGTTCATAATGAAATGCAGGCATACATTCATATATATATATATATATATATATATATATATATATATATATATATATATATATATACACACACACACACACACACACATATACATACATACAGACATACATCCACAGACATACACATACATGCATGCATACAGTCAGACAGACAAACAGACATACACACAGACATACATACACAGACATACATGCATACAGACAGACATACATGCATACAGGACAGACAGACATACATGCATACAGGACAGACAGACATACATGCATACAGGACAGACAGACATACATGCATACAGGACAGACATGCAGACAGACATGCAGACAGACTTGTATGCATGTATGTCTGTCTGTCCTGTATGCATGTATGTCTGTCCTGTATGCATGTATGTCTGTCCTGTATGCATGTATGTCTGTCCTGTCTGCATGTCTGTCTGTCCTGTCTGCATGTCTGTCTGTCCTGTCTGCATGTCTGTCTGCATGTCTGTCTGCATGTCTGTCTGCATGTCTGTCTGCAGACAGACATGCAGACAGACATGCAGACAGACATGCAGACAGACAGACAGACATACAGACAGACATACAGACAGACATACAGACAGACATACAGACAGACAGACATACATGCATACATACAGACATACATATACAGACATACATACAGACATACATACAGACATACATATACATACATACATACATACAGACAGACATACATACAGACAGACATGCATACAGACAGACAGACAGACATACATGCATACAGACAGACAGACAGACATACATGCATACAGACAGACATACATACAGACAGACATACATATACATACAGACAGACAGACATGCATGCATACAGACAGACATACATATACATACATACATACATACATGCACACAGACACACACACACAGCTCATTTTCCAGCCACCCTCCTGTCTCTTACCTTTTCTTTGCAGGAGGGTGGCTGGGGATGATGGGAGTCGGCGCGGCTCCCTCTTCACCGGTGCGCGCGCTCCTCCCGCGCGGAGTGGGCTGGGAAGAAGTGACCACTTCCTCCCACCAGCACATGCGGCTTTTTTTTTTTCTTTTTTAAAGGGGCCCGGTCGCGGCCACAGCGCTGACCGGGCCACTGAAGATTTAGGGCCCATCGGGTGGCCCTAAGTGTGTGGGCCACCCGATGGGCCCCACATGTGGGGCCCGGGCGGCCGGGCCCCCCAGGGCCGCCGGGCCCGTGACAACCGTTATGGTTGTCACCCCCTGATGGCGGCCCTGCAGTGTCCACAATGATATGTGCCTTTAGTACTGTTTAGCCAGGTAGTGTTATCTTTTTGTGAGTCTAAGTTGCTGTGTACCAATGCCCTAACAGGAACAGAGGGCAGATAACGGGAGCGGAGGGCAGATGACGGAAGCGGAGGGCAGATGACGGGAGTGGAGAGCAGATCATAAACCAAAGAAACTTATTACAGCATGATCCTTACATGCATACAGTGAGAACGTCTAACGTAAGCATATTATAAGCAGCATGACCACACCTGGTAAAACGCAAACCTGGAAGTGACTTAGAATAAGAAAATACAACGGTTGAGACTAGTTCCTATCCAGGATAGGAAATAGCTTGCTCAGTGTGAGTAAGCAATCCTTCTTAGGGACCTTTTCGCCCCCTACTGGTCAGGTCCTGTATAGGGATAGGAACTATCCTGCTCACACTGAGAGAGCTAGTTCCTATCCTGCTAAAGGACCTATTGCTCCATAGTGTACAGGTCCTCTTAAAGGATAGGAACTAGACAGCTCACAGTGAGAAATCTAGTTCCTATCCAGCAAAATGACCTTTATAGCTCCAGCTTACACAGGTCCCTTACAGGGATAGGAACTAGACGATTCATGGTGAGAAATCTAGTTCCTATCTGGCAAAAGGACCTTTATACCTTCAGCTAACAATGGTCCCTTACAGGGATAGGAACTAGATGGTTCACTGTGAGAAATCTAGTTCCTATTCAGAAAAAGGACCTTTATAGCTCCAGCTCACACAGGTCCCTTACATGGATAGTAATACGTTTTTCCTATACTCAGGGCCGGATTAACATAGGGGCTGATCGAGCTGCAGCTCCAGGCCCATGGAATAGGCCCATTGTAAAAAAAAAAAATAATATATATTTTTTTTTTGTAACTTTTTTTTTTTTTTACAGACTACTCTTAGGTTTGCCACCTGACTGATATTTTAAGGCACAGCTGGTATTGGAGGCTGTCTCGCCATGACGGTTTTGCAGTAATACCGGCAATACAAATATTTGTCTCCGTATAAATGGAGATTACTCTGCAATACCAGCACCGGCCAGTAGGGGTCACTGTGTATGGAGAGAGGCAGGGATAGCAAGTTACAGCATCTTCCAGCCTCTCTCTACTCACTGATCCGCGGGTGAGCAGCTTCACAGCACAGAGAGTCCAGACAGCAGCTCCCAGCCTGCAGAGACAGACTACAGCTCAGATATGTGAAGGATGGGGGGAAAGGCAGCAGGGAGACATGGGGACACTGAGACACTAGGCGACACTGGCAGATGTGGGGACACTGAGACACGTGGGGACACAGAACCATGGGGACGCTGTGAGACATAGGGAGACACATTGGGACACGGAGACACTAGGGACACAGTGTCTCCATGTCTCCAAGCCAGTGTCCCCATGGCTCTGGGTGTCCCCTGGTCTCCAAGTATCTGTGACACCATGTCTCTGTGTCCCCATGTCTCTCAGTGTCCCCATGACTCCCAGCCAGTGTCCCCATGTCTCCCAGTGTCCCTATGTCTCCCAGCCAGTGTCCCTAGTGTCTCAGTGTCCCCATGTCTCTGTGTCCTTAGTGTCCCCATGTCTCCCAGTGTCCCCATGTCTCCGTCCACAAGTGCCCCATGTCTCCCAGTGTCCCCAAGTGTCTGTGTCCCCATGCCTCCCAGCCAGTGTCCTTAGTATCTGTGTCCCTATGTCTCTCAGTTTCCCTACTGTCTTAGTTTCCCCAAATGTCTGTATCCCTATGGCTCCCAGTGTCCCCTAGTCTCCCAGTATCTGTGTCCCCATGTATCTCAATGTCCCCATGTCTCCAGTGTCCCCATGACTCCAAGCTAGTGTCTCAGTGTCCCCATGTCTCCCTGTGTCCCTATGTCTCCCAGTGTCCCTAGTGTCTGTGTCCCCATGTCTCCCAGTGTCTGTGTCCCCATGTCTCTGTGTCCTTAGTGTCCCCAAATGTCTGTGTCCCCATGTCTCCCAGTGTCCCCAAGTATCTGTGTCCCCATGCCTCCCAGCCAGTGTCCCTAGTGTCTGTGTCCCCATGTCTCCCAGTGTCCCCATGTCTCTATTCACAAGTGCCCCCATGTTTTCTAGTGCCCCATGCCTCCCAGTGTCCCCGGGTCACTCAGTGTCCCCATTTCTCTCAGTGTCCCCTAGTATCCTAGTGACACGGGATACACTGAGTCATGGGGACACTGGGAGAAATGGGGACACAGACACTGGGAAACTAGGGGACATTGACACTGTGGTACATAGGGACACTGATGTCAGGCTGGCCTTCCAATTATTTGGACAGACATGCCCCCTTTTTGGGCATGTTTGCCCCTTTTGGCAGTACTGGTCATATGATTCGCGTCAGTGGCGCATCCTTTTACCCCGCCCATGGACACTGCTGTTATGGGGTATGGATTTACTTGAAAGATGAAAGCATTAATTAGATAAATAGATTAGCATAGAATATGTGTTTTCTTATAGCTGCATCCTTTGAGTTTCCCTCCAGCACCAACTCCATCAGATACATGACTCTTGAGAGATATGACTGTTTCAGTGTTTTTGGTCGATAAGATTCTGTAGTTAGGTCCCATCATAATTGTCAGCACCAGGCCCACTGGGCTCTTAATCTAGCCCTGCCTATACTGCTAAGGGACCTCTATACCTTCAGCTAACAAAGCTAAAGCTACAAAGATAAAATTCTAACTGCACATAAAAGGAAGTCTACATTGGTTACTCCCTACACCTAACCGAATCTCACTCTCCCACCCTGTGAGCACATAACTATTTTTAATCACAGCACTGAGTTATGTGCTCACAGGGTGGGAGAGTGAGATTCGGTTAGGTGTAGGGAGTAACCAATGTAGACTTCCTTTTATGTGCAGTTAAAATTTTATCTTTGTAGCTTTAGCTTCACTATACTGAGACTTTGCTGCGTTCTACAAGGCTTTTTATTGCTAGGATTTTCAGCAATAGATTAACTTATGGCTCTTTTGATAGGCTTTTGTTGGTGTCAACCTGCCTAATTAAGCTACGCTTAGCCACAGTTGCTTTTTTGCACAAATACAAACTGAACCATTTTTGTCCAGTACACTGTTGCAATCCAGCCTACACATTAGTGTGTTTACTGTTCATTGTAACAAGGGCTCCCCACTGTATTTTTTACCTACAAGATGAGCAATCCTGTTTTTTGATTGCAACAATTCTCCATGGAGTTTTACTCTTGTTTGTTATCAGTCTTCATTGGGTTATACATAGTGGAGCTATTTCATTACTCTAGAATTATCCTTTTTTTCTTGATATTACGTATACTCAGGGTTATATACCAAGAGAGTTACTGCTATATTACTCTAATTATTTACAAATCATATATATCCTTCTACCTTTACTTGGATTCCCTGAGTCTATAGAGATTTCATATCATTACTATACTGCCTCTAGTCCGAATCCCCTCCTGTGTGTTTTAGTTTTGAAGTGCTGTTTTTGTAAGTTTCCTTTTTTGAGGGATTTTTTCTACCCTATAATAAAGCATTTTTATTTCTAGCATTTTTTAAGTGCAGACCCTTAGATCCCTTCTTTCGGGTGCTCCCATAGCCTTTGTGCATTTGGGATCATCCATTTCGTTTCTTTGTTCTAAGACCCTAACGCTACACCCTCCTATTCTAAGAACACCCTGCCTAGTAATAGCCCCCTAGATAAACTTAGAATCAATTTGTTGCATAAATACAAAAAGAGAAGTCCTGCGCTCACTCCCATCACTACTGGGCCGGCAGCAATGACTACAGTACACATCAGCCCCAATATATAGTAAAAACCAAAGAAAAGAAAAAGTTACCTGCGTTCTCTCCTTAATCCCTATGTATATTTAGACAAATGGAGGTCATATAGTTGCTCCAATGGCCATTGGAAGAATGCCCGCCTGCCAACGTCAAGGCAGACCCCCCTAAGTGGGTCCTAACACTGACCCTTCAGCCTGCTTCCTTGAGCTTCTGGCAAAGATATCTCTAGTGAGAAAGACAGGGGTATTTTTTTTATATACACCCCTATATACTTATTAACTCTTAATAGGGAACACATGGGATGGGCGGCAGCATTGTAACAAGGCTGTGTGATCCAAAGTAAATACAAAAAAAGAAGTCCTGCGCTCACTCCCATCACTACTGGGCCGGCAGCAATGACAACAGTACACATCATCCCCAATATATAGTAAAACCAAAG